TAATATCAAAGCAATCGGACTTGCGGTTTTTAACAAGAAGTCGAAAATATCACTTTTTACCAAAAATGACAAAAATATTCACCAAAATTAGAGAATTGAAGATATCATCACAAAATGAACAAATCTGAGAGAGGTCCACATGTAGTACCTATATATGTAATATCAAAGCAATCGGACTTACAGTTTTCAACAAGAAGTATCACTTTTTACCAAAAATGACAAAAATATTCACCAAAAATAGAGAATTGAAGATATCATCACGAAATGAACAAATCTGAGAGAGGTCCACATGTAGTACCTATATATGTAGTATCAAAGCAATTGGACATGCGGTTTATAACAAGAAGTCGAAAATATCACTTTTTACCAAAAATGACAAAAATATTCACCAACATTAGAGAATTGAAGATATCAACATGAAATGAACTCACTCATATGATAAGCTCCGCTCGACAAAGTCGACAGCGGAGCTAAAAAGATAAATGCATATTACATTAAATATACTGAGTATTTTTTTTTATCATGTGGACAGTTTTATTTGATTGACTGTAATTTTTCAACATTTCGTAATGCCTATTTTAGAACCAAAGTAAGGCCTTTCACTCCTCCCTGACACCTATTCAACTCAACTTTTGAGCCAAATTTTTAAATTGATACATTATCATGGTTTATATTAGGACTTTAACGGGGCGGAGAATCGCGCATCTTAGAGTAAACACTGTTCATTCATTTACAAAAAGATTAGCTCAAGTGTTAGGCAGACGTCGGCCAGATGGGGAATTCACTGGCACTGATTTCACATTCAACTTTGACTGGCGCCTAATTGGTGTGAAAATTATCACCTTTTCTATTGTACTGGCGCCTAATCCAGGGTGGCGCTTATATGAGGTATTATTATATGGTACATGTAGTCAAAACGTTGAATGTACTCTCTGCAAAACCCTTCCAATTGTTGAATATTAAAGTGTCTGTGAAATGCCCACCCACATGTTTCCCATTTTAGATCTGTGTCCCACTGAAATGGGCAGTTATTGATTTTTTTGCTGAAAATGATTACTCATATCCAAGTAAAATTGATATACATCTCGTGCTGTAGCCACGCCCACCTATCCTGAAACAGTCATCTATTTTTGGATGTCCGATTCTCGCAAAATGTGCGCCACCAAATGCCAAAATATGAGAGAAAGCCATGTTCCTGAGCTGTACTTTTATAACACTGCGTCATTCAACATATACATTTTTCTGTTGGTGTCTTTTTTTTGAATATTTTTTTTTTGAGAGAGAGTTTTTAGAAGTTGTTTACACAATAAACATTTATGATGGTTAAACGATGTGTTGTGGGCGGGTCTAGACACTTTGCCACATGTGGTTACTTACCATAAGGATACTGAGACCATGTAGCCAACGCTTTGCTATCACCATCCTCCCCACCCTTCGGTACTTGTGTTATCATGATTGGAGTACGTGATGGAGCAGATGCTATATACGGTCGCCATAACACTTTGGGTCCAGCGAGCAACCGCATTGTGTCACTTGCATCCAGGCTGGGTACAGATTGAGTTGTCTTCGGAACTGCTCTGTTCTTGGAATGCGACTGCTGTATGTAACACTGCTCGTGATACATACCTGGAAATAAATATATTCCAGTAATAATTAAAAAAAAAAGTTATGTCTTGCCCCACAGTCACAGTATTCTCTGAAAATACATGAGGAGTTCAAAAACGTCTTCCTCACATACTAGTATGTCACT